AATAGAAAACTGTATTTCAGTGTATTTTATTGTATTTAATCAAATAAATGCAGTCTTTGTGAGAATAAGGAACTTCTTCAAAAACATTTCAAATATCTTACCAACCCCACACTTTGAATGATAGTCCATATTTATTTTATATTAATATTTATAACATTATCAGCTATAATGAATATATATAGCACATTACTAAGATACTAATTTAAAAAAACCTATATTTACCCTTCAATGCACAAAAGTGAACCCGTCCATGATGACTAGGCAATATACACCAAATAAGAACTTATGGATTTTAAACTCACCAAAATACATTCCTCTAAATCCATCTTCTCCAAATCATGACAATTCTAAAACAGAAGGCATAGCTTGTTTAGGAATCCTGTCACATCAGCGATGTCTCTCTAAATCCAATGTGTTTATGTTTTGTAATTTTGGGGTGTTTGTGTGATTACTCACTCTGGCAAGAACAGTAAAACCAGCATCAGTCACATGTGAGCAGCGAGCAGCCTCCAGGATCCTGAGGAAAACACATGCAATGTGAATGAATGACTCTGTGTGGGCATGTGTGCTTATCTGCGTACAGATGAAGAAAGCTTTACTTGAGCCGTTGGCAGTTGAGGCCGAGGGCAGTCAGAGAAGCATCTGTGATGTTGCTGCAGCCAGACACACAAACCATCTGCAGTTTGTGACAACCACGGCACAAACTCACAAAGCCGTCATCTGTGATTTGCTGCAAGATGGATAAAACAACAAATTAACATTGTGTATTTGTTTTTCACAAGCAATATTTAACAAAAGTATAGTAATAATTCAAAATCTTACTGTGCATGATTGCATGTTGATTGTCATGAGCTCTGGACAGTGCTTTTGAAGCTGCTTCAGTGCAGTATCATCAAGCTGAAAAGACACATTTAACAATTATTATGTCACATTATCAATGATTTCACTCAAAGTGTTTTGTGTGAGTGTGTGCTTGTATAGATGTATGTACCTGTGTGCAGCCTCTCAGAAACAGAGCTCTGACGCTTGTGCAGCCACGGCTGAGAGCCTCGATGCCATCACTCGTGATCTGATCACACCAGGACAGGTTCAGATTCTCCAACATCCGACAGCCCTCACTAGCAGGCAGAAAGAGCCAATACGAGGGTATGAAGCAAACAAAACGCTAAAAAATAACTTAAACACCACTACACCACCTAACAAACACAAAAAACCCAAAATAAAGTTATTTAAAAGAAAAATAAAGGAAACTTTTGAACCGCTAACCAGTAGAGTAAAAAACAATACACAATGAATTTTTTTTTTAAATATTGATTTATCAAATTATTAAAAAACAAAAATACATTTTTCTCCTTTTCCAGTTATAATAAACCCCTGTTATGAGGATCATTAAACCATTCAAAATTTGTTTCCAAAACTTATAATAATAAAAAACAAAATAATAATAAAATAAATATAAACATTATTATTTTCTTTTTAAAATGTGCTTTTTGCATTTCAAACCATACCTTGCGCTGTTAAGATGTGGGAATATAAGCAGCAATTATCTCAAATGTCTAACAATTAGTAAATAACTGGTCACTCCCAGAATTTCCTGTTTCACCAGCTCATACAGTATAATCTACTACAACTGTGGAAAAAAAATCATTAGAAGAAATGTGACAGAGGTGACAGACTTATAATCATTAGCAAAGTCACCCTCCTGACACAATGAAATTAAAACTAGGCTTTGATTTAACATTCCCCAATTAAGTTTTAAAGACTCCATAAAATCTCAAGTTTTTCACAGTTTTGCATTTTTTAGTCCATTAGCTTTGAGGTCACCAAGTGCTTAAAAATTGAGTCTTTCACTTCTGACAAAATTAAGCAATAATATTGTTGTCCTATTTTACACTCAAGGACATAAATTTTTTGTCCAATAATCATCATGATTCGTGCTAACCCAAACAGGACTTATGGTCATGATATTTAACATTATTTACAGAATCAAAACAAATAATCCAGCCTAAATTAGTCATTATAACTACCCCACCTTAAGGCCTTAAGTGCATGATTGGTGATGGACACGCAGGAGGTCAGGTCAAGGTGGCGAAGTTTGGAGCAAAACTTGCTAAGGCTGACGCAGGTGGAGTCTGTGATCTTGGTGCAGCCGTTGAGGTTTAGATGTTCAATGTTGCGACAGTTCTGAGCAAAGGTCCTGCCAAATCAAATGAAACCTCTTAGCTAACAATGTTAAACAGAAAAACTACACAATAAAAACCAGATACACATGGGCCAAAACAGCAACATATAATCATTATACCATCTCCTAACCAGCCACAATATGACACGTTTGTCACAATGAAAGCTAAACTGCTGCACAATCCAATCAGCTATTTGAAAGATATTTGATATATAATATGCAATTATATGGAAAGAGACCAATGATATGCATAGTGGGCGGGGCCACTATGAAATAGAAACCAATAAAAATCCATTAAAAAAATTATACAAAATGCCCTGTCAGTATTCACAAATCTCAGCCAGTTAGGACAAAAACTGATTCACTGAAATCACTTTCATAACTTGCTACTTTGACTTGCTTAAATGCAGCTGAATGCTATTTTATACTTTTGATTGGACAGTTTCACTAATTGCATGAACTGTGCAATCCTACAGTGCATGTTTTAATTAACAAAAAGTAATGCGGCTCACTTCATGGAGGCATCTCCCACACTGAGGCAGCCCCGAAGACTGAGCTGCCTCAAAAACCCCCCACATCGCTTCGAGATGTTCTCCACGACACGTCCCTAATAGAAAGACAGAGAGAGAGAGAGAGATCAGGCAGAGGATCAGGGATGACGTTACAGTCTATGGATTCAGCAGAAAGCCTACTGACCCAGTGTTAATCCCACACACATAACACCCACAGACAGACAATTTAAAGCACATAGCAACATATAACTGATGAAGTACTAAGACATACAAAGCAAAAGCCAATAACACACAAGACTGTATCTGCAATCACAAACCAAAACATTTACTTTACACATGCTTTTTCACCTCAATATCTGTCTGAAAGTTAAAGAGATCAATCTTCTGCCAGTTGCTTCCATCTAATGCAAGAACATTCCATGCCTGTTCATCCACAGAGAAAAGGAGGAAGCATTGTTAGAAAACTTAATCTTAATTCTAGACATTTTTGTTTCATTTTAACTAAACAAGCAGCTGAACATACCTTGGATACTTGGGCACACCTACACAATGTAACTACATCCAGGAAGGAGAAAATCCTGAAATAAAAACAGAGACTTTTGATTAATTGTTTATTTTTTGTTTATTATTCAGTTTTTTCCTTGCTACCCACTTCCTGTAATCCTTTGACAGTACATACAAAAGTATGTCAAGCCAATAAAGCAATTTGAATTTTGGAAATTAAAAAAAAAAATCAGATGGCCAGACCAATAGATAGATAGATAAATAGATAGATAGATAGATAGATATGCATACAAGATAGACACGCAGAAAGAACGACAGAACGATATATATAATGACAGACAGACAGACAGACAGAGATAGATAGATAGATAGATAGATAGATAGATGA